TTGCGAGCATAATTCGTTCCGGAAATGTGTTTGTAATCCAAAGCACTCGTATATCAGTTGTGATCACGTGACGCTCGATAGACAAAGCGTATACGTACTACTCGTATTGCAAGACCTCGCTCGTTTATCAAATTTATATTTATTTAAAAATTTTGCTCGTCTTGCAAAACATTCGCAGACCAAGTTACTCGCAATCCAAGGTTTTACTGTACTTAACGACTGTAAATCTAGAATTTGAAGCTTACAATTACGTTTTATTTGCAAAACTTTTTTCAGATAAAACTAAAAACATATATACAAAAGCAAAACAGTGCAGAGGTATCTGTTAAATAATTTGCTAAATTTACCTAGTTTAAAATCCAGAGCACTAAAAATTCAGCAAACATTTACACAACTGTACGGAACAAAAATCATGTTACACATAATACTTCTCCATGCAGTACACAATCTGTCAAAAGTTAAAAAGTTAATATTGTGATTACGAATGGCAAAATGCAATCATCCATTGCCAAGTTTGTAATCTATCTCAGTGCTTTGAAGTTTAAATTGCACACTTGAATTCGTTTTAAAAACCGAAGGTAACTCGTGAATGAAAGCGAAGGCAACTCTGAGGTTTGGTAATTGTTGAATAAGATTTTTTTTAGTGAAATAGGATGGAATGGACGATGCATTAGTTAGCCAAAGTGCACAAATGCCAAAATCCATTATCCCAAAAAAAGAGGCTGTTGATATTTCAGAATTGCAATCAACATTATATACCCATCCATTAGTAATGTTTGTGCATATATATGATTAAAAGATGTGTTCATGTATTCAATCAACTTTACATGCTATTTGACAGTTTAAATGGGCATAGGAGATACTGTATTCAAACACCTTGGGAGGTGTATTTGCTCATGAAAATATTCTAAAACGTACTTAGTATACAGATAATACATTTAATAGCATTGTGCTGACAAATTATGGCCACATTTTTTGGAGGACTTCCAGTCTTCCCAAAAATTTAATTGGGATGCAAAGTTAGAGAAAAAGTCGCAAGACTACAATTCTAAGTCGAGAGATGTCAACCTTTATAAGACGAGTAATCGTTTACCACCGTGTGTGCATTGCTTCAACGGTATATATGCGTGTCAAACCAAAAACCCCAGAGAACAATTTCAGTTATTTTACAACCGATACATGAAACATCATTGAAAATGGTCTTATGGTTGGTGATAAATTGTAGTTGCAGCCACTACACATTGGTACCTGAAAATAGATAAAATAGGGAAATAGTTTCAATTCTAAATGCCTAATTAGCCCGGTAATGATTGCACAGATTGATTCGCCTGTGGCGAGGACTCAGGTGATGTGAATCCTGATACACTAATTGTTTTTAATTGACAAATGGAGTGTTAGCAGAATAACTATAATACATTTGAAAAAATAAAACTTGACATTAATATTTTCTAGAGTGAAAAACAAAAGTTCGACTTACAAGGTCACTTTAAATAGTCCCAAAAAAAACCTGTAGGTGCAATGCAATATTGTTGCAACACATTGATAGGCGGTAAATGCATATTTCAGACATTGCCGACATTCAAAAATGTACAAAATGAAAAGGCAACCTCAGACATTTTTATTTAACTTACAAATTCAACCTCACTCCTACATTAAAAAATGTTACATGCCATTGCATACTCCAAGCATCATATTTACTCATAATTAATTTGCGAAGTTGAGTTCCAAAATGGAGAACGGAATATCTACATGACTTGCACAACTATTTTTTTCAACGTGGGTTTGAAAAACGTTTAGCAGTTCGGAGACAGCGAACCTACCTGTTGCAATGTTGCAGCTTTGCAGCATTAGAATAGGTAATCAATGAAAGAAATATCCACGCTCGTCTCATGCAAATCTACATTCAAGAGATTATAAATGTTTAATATGGTTAAAAGCTTAAACTAAGCCATAATGGTATACATGAACGAATCCATTAATCATAATCGTTATCATAAATTAACCCAAATGATTCACAGCCTATGGCCGAATCACCTAGATTTAGGCCGGATCTTATACGATCTCAGAAGAAAAGCTGAATGGAGCCTGGACAGTGCGTGGATGGGTGGATCATGCACAACACTTAGAACAAAATTGTCAGCAGAGGGCAGAGCAGTAAAACCATTGCTGTACTTTAATATGCTTTACTATCTATGCTGCCCCTTTCACCAGCCCACACAGACCAAGGTGAAGTATGGTCAAATAATCACGATGATTTGCACAGCGTCTGAAGAACCTCGTCCAGCAGTGGGGTTGACGAAAGGGCTGTACATGTACGACCATAATTGTTTCACTTGCCGCAATAGATGTCAATTGGTAGAGTAGATGGTCACAAACCCACAAGTTGAAATGCCAGCTTGACATAACTTGAGCCCAGTGTCCCTCTGGTCAGTACAAACTGGTTGCAAATCAACAGCGGTTGTGCTAAAGAGAAACTACAGTGGGACTTCTACTACCCAGGACCTGAAAAAGCAATTATCACTGCTCAAAGCTTGCATGACGAAGATTGGGGCAGTTTGGCAATGAATTAAGTATAGTTAAGAAAGAGGGACTGAAACTAAAAAAGCATACCGTGGTACTGGAAATGGGTCAAATGTACTTGCAAATGTAAAATGTAGATTTAAAAAAAAATACCTTCATTGTAAGCACATTTATCACAATGTACAGGGAATAGCAAACCATTGAAACACTGCACAACTTCACTAACCATTGTGAAATATCATATGGCATAGGATTAAGCACAGACATAAACAGGTTAATAACTAAGTTGTTTGGCTTATCATACGATAATAAGAACCTGTCAATTTGTTTTCATTCAAATTGCATAGCATCTCAAATGCTTTGAAAGATACATTATGAAGTAATACTTAAGTGTGCTAAAATACAACACTGATCATTTTAGTCATAAACATTGATAAAGTATTAATAATAAAATTAAACCCTAAACTCTGTTTAAATATCAACAATACAAGTCCAGGAGTACATCAATGTCCCACTCTGGCAATGTGAAAAATGTTTAACATTCCATATCTTAACAAATACTCTTTCAAATGGCGAAAAATAATTACTGTTTACTTAACCACGTGTTGAAGTCTCTACTTAGAAAGGTTGAATGGACATTTCAATTATGACTTGCAGATATGTAAAAAATTGAGAAACTCAAATGATGCATTTTTATTCAGAATTAATGGCATCCTACACCTATAATCAAATAACATTTTTATATATAAAAACTACCAAAATTACATTTATTTTAACACAAGGACAATTGCAATTACAGCTATTATAATTGAATTCAAAGTAGCATAAACATTTTCAGTGATTTCCAACTAAACCTTTACCCTTGGCTACATATGCATCACGTTTCATTTCCATTAAAAACAACTTTAAATGGCTTGAGGACAACCGCTTCATGGCAGAGTATACTTATTCACATTGATAGCTAAAGAATGAAAAAAGCAACATTAAAAAATTGCAGGATACTGCTAACTCAATTAGCAATCAATCTGTAAGACTGGCTTGTAGCAGTTGTACATCTAAGTGGAATTTCCAGCACAAAGAAAACACCACAAAATAGCAAAGGTCTCTCTACATCGAAGCCCACCCCCCCGCCCCCCAGGTGTGAATTTACAATGAGTGCTGTGATGCAAGTGTCAGTAATAAATATGGTTCGGCTTCGACTTGAGAGTGTGTAGGATTGGATAGCAGCATCTTATAAGCAGATTCCCCTGCACATCCCAAATTTAATCCCTTCTGAAAAAAAAATTATGTAAAAAGGCACTTTCGTGATACGCCTCCACCCCCAGAAACCAATTACCACCTAATAAACTTTCACATAAACAATTGGGAAGGTTAACATCTGTTCTTATTCATATTAAAACAGTGGTGTAATTTCTAACAGGCGAATGAAGACCATTTTAACGCAGCCTTTGTCATAGCAAATGTTCTGATTAAATGTACTACTGTGGCCATGAGTCTGGTAAAGTTGGAGATGTGAACCAGGTGAAGTCAAAGACGACTATCCATACCCATCTCAAACTTTTAAGTTAAAGTCTTCCCAAGTCTGTATGCGTGTAAATGCATGCAAGTGCTGTACATACAAGAGGACACGCATCAAACTGGACCATGAAAGTATGGAAATACAAACCATCTAGTTTACTTTCCAAAATGATACGTCCTAACTTTATTGTGTCCAGCGTTATGAGTAGCATATAACGAGGCTTCAAAATAAGCCCAAGGCCAGGTCTGTGATATTATTTTTGTATGCCAATACTAATCTCCTGGAATGCCCCACAACCACAACGAATATTGTAAAAGTTATAGCATGTGCAGAAATATGGAGTTGTTTCTTAAATTAACAAGTTCTTAAAGTGTTTCTCAAAAGTAAAAGTGACATAAAATGACACTGCTGTGTAATAAATAATGTATGAAATATCAACAAGGATGGTCTGTGTACTACAACTAATAATTTTTATAACGGAAAATTTTCCGTCGTTCTCATTGAGCAGCTATCACACCTCCTGTATGTGAACTTCTTACATTAAAGTGTTTAGGACACACGTCTGCCACCCATGCACGAAATAATGCACTCTATGGATCATGGTTTCCTTCAACAATTCTTGATGTTTACAAGTGTATGCAATTTTTATGATAAATACACGGGAAATATCTTGATTTGAAGCTTTCGTGACTGCAGGAATCCATAAAGTCACGTAGGTATAAAATAAATTAAATCACGTTTCGATCGCAACACAAGCGACCATCAGGTTTAACAGACACAGCAGGAGAACTGCTGACATAGGAGAAAGAGCTGCTGCAACAAGACTTTATATCGGATTTTGGTGGGCTCAACCCAAGGGTAAGTGGGCGGAGCTAGAGAAGGAATTTGTACGTAAATGTAAATGATAGATTAGCATGTCAATGTCCTATATAAACTCTTGTTGCAGCAGCTCTTTCTCCTATGTCAGCAGTTCTCCTGCTGTATCTGTTCCACCTGATGACGGCCGTTTGTGTTGCGATTGAAACGTCGTGATTCATTTTATTTTATACCTACGTGAAATTACCGAAAGAACCAACGAGTTCACGAGCAATATTAAAACAGCAAAACAATTAGAGCAAATCTACATAATTAAGATTTCAAAATAAAACAATACAAATGTATATGCAATATCCAAACAGTACTTTGTAATAATTCTACAAGACAAGAATATAGAGCATTTAACAGTAGGCAGAACATTACCTGCAACCACATGGTCACAATAAACAATTTAAAGGCTCTAAAGATGGCTTTATTTGTAAACATACCTTACCTTTATGTACACGTCACTACAGATGCCACAATACATTACGCTGTATACAGATACTGCCAACATAATGAAAAATTCATAGGTCAAGACTAAGCTATGATTAAATGCCCAAGACTATACTAGCTTAAACATATAAAAATTAAAAAAATACATATATATTGATTTTCTTGGTGCAAATGTTTGCATTAATCATTACAATGGTTTGCATCTCATTGCATTATTCTAATCGTATGTAACATTTCATAAATCCATTTAAGTTGTATGTAGTTATACATTTTTATGACTTTTAAGTGGATTTAAGACGCATTTTAAGTTATGAAACGTGCATGATGCATGGCGCACGAACAATGCAATTACACAAAGATCCATTCTCATTTGTTGCAACTTCATCGTGTTATCGCACTTGAAAATCTGAAAGCCAGATAACTAGGCTTGCAATACTCCAGTCAAGCAACATGTTGACTTGAATTTGCCAATTTGAGTTTTCTTCGATTAGGACTGCAAGTTAGGACATGATAAAGTCCCCAGAGATCTATACATTGCATTTCACTCGTGACTAGAATACCAACTTGAAATCATCTTCAAGTGAACACACAAAAGAGAAAATGAGCCGAGGGCATCTGCAAGGCATAGGCCATCAACGTTGGTAACGATCAAAGTTTCCCTCCTCCAACGAAGACAAATAATGCTGCTTCAACACAAACACACACACACACGAATCAACGCAGTGCAAAACCCTTGGGCGCGTCGCTGGGGAGAAACGGTCCTCAGTCGAGCGGCCGAGGATCGGCCATGGGCATGGTGTGCAGCACCTCGTCCAGCAGCTGTAGGGCCCGGTGCAAGTGAATCTCGATCCAACAGGGCGTCTCCTTGATGCTGTGCCGTGGGTAGTCGGGGCCCCAACCCTTCACGAAGCTCATGCGCAGAATGCAGAGCCGCCGCAGGTCGTCCACGCCGATGCCTGCTGCCGCCGACAAACCTGACGGCCGTGCGATGCGGGCAGTCGTAAGTATTTCTAGGATTTTGCTTTTTTATTATTATTATGGAGATTGCACGAGTGAAATGGGCTTGATCGTATTCGCGATTGCATTCTCAGTTAAACCATTTCAACATTAGGCAAGCTATTTGAAGTTATATGACGGTGCTCTAGTGCTGTGAACATTTTAAATGTTCAGAGGCGATCCATGTCTTGCTGTCTCTCAATGTCATTCCAAGCGTGAATCTCTCATTGCTTATTTGCACAAAATTTAGTTGCCTTGCATGTTATTGTGAATGACCATGTCATACGGGAAGGATGCACCGATTAAAAACACTTCTTTTTAATGTACATTGGTTTGTTATTTGTGGCTATATATATTTTTTATCAGTAGTAATGAAAAATGCATAAGGCCTCCAAAAGGAAGATTGTATTCCAAATCCATTTACACACCGAAAAGTACACATTTCTCAGTTACCTTGCTGCAAGATAAAACCACGATTATGAACCCATCTGTAAACAGATATGCCATCTTACATGGTCGCTTGCTGATAAGGAGTATGAACGTCTTTGAAATTCCACAATCTCTGGGTCCTTTGTTTGACGTGGAGTACACTGAAGGGTGTGTCACAATACACGTCAATATGAACTTGCGCCACGTGGGGGAGACTTACTGATGGCTGGAGCAATGCCTCCGACAGAGCCAGGACCGGGGATGTTTCCAGCCACGGCAGCTGCCTGTGCGGCAGCAGCTGCCTGTGCGGTAGCAGCTTGCTGCTGCATCTGCCGGTGGCACTGTCTGAGGTCAAACACCTGCCATCACCAAGGGCAACAACAACAACAACAAAAAATCACACAAAAAAAATTCACCAAATTTTTAAAAAATCTATTTTTTTGCATAATTACAACAGCAAAAATATAAACCTTTACAGGATACAAGTCGAAGAATGGCAATCATTCGATGCAGCTATGACGATTGGTTCGTTCTTTTCTCAGGCCGCTTGTCCTGGCGAGGGTTGCAGTGGCAGCATGTTGAGTAGGGCGCTCCAGACCTCCCCTTTCCCTAGCGTTCCCAGGCCAGCCGAGCAACATAGTTCCGCCAGCGTGTGTCCTGGGCCGGCCCCGGGGTCATCGCCCAGTGGGGCTCTTGATGATTCTACTTCAAAATGTTTTAAGATTTTACGTGAAGTGACCTTTATATATGCGCCGGGATAGATCTTGTGTACAGCATCTCCGGGTGCCCGGCCTGCTTCCCGATCCAAGTAGTAGCTCTGCACGAAAACGGCGTGGTCGCTGAGACAGCGGACCCACACGTCCCCCTCTCCCCGGCACTCCAGCTGGACGCCCTTACCGATGTGAAGCCTGCACACACACACACACACACGGCGATGAGTAAAGCTTGGCTGTCACGTCAATGGGCAAAGAAAGAGACTTACAAATGTACATAGATCAGGCACTACTGGAATACATTTCTTCTCTACAGATGCAGGGAACACCTTAATGTTTCGAAAGGTACTTGCCTCGCCTTTTCGCTGGCATCAGTCCGATGAACATTGGAGAGCTGGCCGAGACAAAAGCGGTCGCCACCCGAAGGGTCCACGTAGCCATCCACCGTTACAATGGGGCAGCTGGAGGGCACTTTGAACGTCTCGCCCACCTGGACGTCCATCTCAAAGTATGCAATGGAGCACCAGAACTCTGGACCTACAAAGGGGAGTTTCACTTATACATCACATTTGTTCATTACATATGTTGAGTCAAATACCTTTCTCTACGAGTGTTGTAAGGCTGTATGGGGTAAGTTCTTTGAATACAGACTCAGTGACGTTCGTAAAAAGTGTCCGTGAGGTAAACAGCATGTACGCCCCCTTTCACCTTTGACATTCACCTCCTTACAAGCAAACCCGCGCTACCCGTGATGTTATCTCTGTGACAATGCTTTGGTTAAATAAAAAAAAGCGAATTTGATTTGTGCAAGTGGTTATTTTTTTGTTATTTTTTTTTACATTATTGTTTTATCACCGCAAAAGCTCAATGAAAGGCTATTCCTCACCGATATTACGCTGGGAACGCAAGTTTGACCCATGTGCATCTGTTAAAAATGCATTTCAGAATGTCAGAATACATTAGAAAAGCTCACTGATCATATTGGAGGATGTTGTTGACAAATGGAACCTTCAAAATAATTCGGACTCCGCTCATATTTCTCTTAGGAATCATTCAATGATGAGGTCACAACATGAAACAAAGTGAGCTATCACATTTTTAAGTGACGGCATGCATTCTGTATGACATTATTAACTGAAAGGTACAGAGCTGTTTATTCAAGTATCATTACCATTATCAATCATAAATTTTACCCAAAAACTAGGTAAACTTGGTTATCTCAGTAATTACAGGTATTTTTTTTAATTATACACAAGTCAATCTTAGTGATCAACAGATATCCACTTTCCACGGATTTTTTAGATACTAAGTGAGGTTAAGAAACAGTAAATTATTGATACCGTTTGTACATACCTGGATGGGTGGAAAGAGGAGGCTGGAAAGAGAGCTCATTGTGGTGTGGAGGCCCTGCAGAAAAAAGGAAAACTCCTTTGCATGAGCCAAGCAACGACTACTATTGTATCAGTTCCAAGAAATGTACATGCTGTGCCTTGAGACAACTTATGGATTCATGTGGTTTGTTTATTTAGCATTCAAAATGTGGCCCCGAGAACATTATTACAATCTGCCAACCCATGCCTTGTGGAAGGATGGAGCATTGCCAAATATTTGCCATTTCATTTGATTAATTCTTTAAGGAGGTCAAGAATAAAAAAATAATCACGTTTTAAACAGCCACATTTGGAGACAATTATTGTTATGAATACATAATTCTCAAGAACAACACCAGTTATTGCAAATGCAATACATCTTAATGATTTACAATGAAATTATAATGAATGGCATGTTGAAGAAACAAACAAAATAGAGATCAAGGGGGGAAGTTTACTACTTTGGTTTTTCATTATACCGATTGATGATATTAACCTCAATTCATTAAATAATAATTTTATGATAATGTTATGGAAGGGTACAGAGTAACCTGCAACGGCTGAAGAATCATTTATTTTTGTTTATTAGATGTTGCACATAGTTGTTAGAAAGTATTGCATATACTAGATTCTTCATTCAAAGAAAATGTACAAATAAAATTCGTCACACTATGGACTAACTCATCTGGTAACACATCCGTGGCAAGATTAGAACACAGTCCAAAGAGCATGACCTCAGCCATGCAACCACTACACCAGCTTAAACTACAAACTGTGCTGCCACATGTACACATGCACCTTAATCAGTGTGCAAGTTTTGTCGATTTATATCTATACTAGTTATACACTTTGTATATCCTGGAAAGCCTCACTCAGCTTGGGATGTCTGGACTAATCAAATTATTATCGGTGTGAGGAAACCCGCAAACTTACTTTCTGTACTGGCAAACTTGCAGCACTGCAACTTAGAAATATGTGTAAGTCCTCAACTCTGCCTCCAAAAGTGCTGGATTACATGTTACAGCATGTTACAGTAGTCTCCATATGATGAAATGCATTTTTTCCTGTATTTTAAAGGAATAGATGGTGGTGAATATAAAAATTCAGTGGTTGTTTGTGAACAGATTTTAATTACTCTATTTATACTGGGCACACGTCTGGGGAAAGAGTGAATTTAGTATTTTAAAAAATGTAGTTATAAATTAACCGTGCTGTATTATTGATCCAGTTCACGTTTTAATATGAACATTGTGCTTTGCCAAACACTGTGGTAAGTAAAATGTTGTAATTTATAGCCAGGCGATCCCAATATTTTATATGTGGATAAATTGGTAATTGTTAAATACCATGTAAAGAAAAATCCATGCAAAACTAAGTTCTCAAGTAAGAAATTTAGGAAGACAAATTTGGTTAAATGTATAATAAAAGATCAGCTACATTTAATATATAAATACATGAAATCATAAATATATTTAAAGTATTGAGAAGCACAACAATTTTATGGAGTTTGTGCTATTTGATTTGTATTATGACCTATAATTCTAGATTTCATATCATCCATGTAATTATGAACACACCATACAAAGTACATGGAACATTTAAATATAATATATACATATAAAACAATGTGCAGCCCTGCCATTGCTTGCTCACACCACTTCTAGAAGACAGTCCTCCATAAGAGAGAGTGCAAGTGAGTCCCTTGTCGTAATTTGGCCCATTCTTCCACACGGTCAAACAATTTTGAAGGGGTAGTAATCCCTACTTTACACCACCACACTTAGCCTAACCATCGGCTATCTGTGGGTGCACCCATCTGTACTGCTGGGTAGACATAGGCAGGGGCATTTAAGAAACTTGCACCACTGTTTCAACACTTGTTTTAAAATATCTCACTAAATATTTCAAGTTGGGGACAAAACAACCACAAATATGGCTAAATGGAAAAAAAAATAAGGCTGTTTAAGCAAAAAACACAGCTGGGCAATATCGACAAAATCTAGAGCTCCTCTAATCCAAGCTCATGCAACATGATACACGGGAAGCAATCACTCGCATTTGGAGAGCAGCTTATTATTTTCCTGCAAACACAAAACGACCTTACTCGAGCAGAGTAAATAATATGGCTTGCACGGCACAAACATATAATTCTGTATTCACTGAGCACAAAGATGCCCCAATGCATTTATTCTTTGTGACAATATTTTGCCGTTACAAGATGAGGTCACCTCATCAACGCAGAAACTGTTCGGGAAAAAATGTAAGCAACAAAAAACTTTCACCAAAACGTAAACCTTTTTGTACAGATACTGTAAAAAAAAAACATCCCATTTGAATAAAACACATCCCTGGCAGCAAAATTGTCAATATTAAGAAAAAAAAATTTTCAGAAAGGTTTAAAAACGTGTACTACTGCTAGACAATACTATATTTTTGGAACTTTTTTTTTTAATTGTAAAAAGCACTGAGAAATAATTCCTGCAACAAAAGACACATGTAATTTTAACCATATAATAATGTGCAAACTTAAAGGGGATTGAACGACCAATGGCAATTCTTGAAATAATAAGTGTATTTACTTCTAAACAATAAAATCAGACGACGTTGTTTGTACTCACAGTAATGATTGGGATGATGCAAGGGCGGGTGGTGAGGAACGGGAGGACCATTCTGGTGGTGGACCATGTTCGCTGTGTAGGTGGCCGTACTGCTGCCCGTCCATGTGGGTGCAGCACCATCTAAATGGACAGCAATATGGCTGATGTAGATGCAGAGCAACAACTTCAATTTCACATTCAGGTTGCCCAAGCCAGACAACCACATCAGGAGCAGTGGAGTGTATCACTGTGATGACTCTTTCGTATTTGTGGATTGGGCATTGCATCGTTACACGTTGTACGGTCTGTTCTGGATGACCACAGTCGCACACTGGAGTGTGTTTTAATTTTCCATTTGTGCATCAGGTATCCACATCTGCCATGGTTTGTGTGGACACAGTTTAGGGTGGACCATGAGCTTCGTGGAAGATCTTAGCGTTGGCAGTGGTGCACGATCACAAACAGCAAAAATCCCAACACACTCATCACAAACACGATAAAAAATAATAGGCGACTGTTTGCGCAATGGCACTTATTTGTAGCATTAGTGAAAATAACGTGCGTGCTCTTTAATTCAAATAACAGTTTCTGTCACCCTACTGGTTCACAGCTCAGGCTTTGATAAATCTTTCCACAGTTACCAATGTGTATCATTGCATGTGGTCATCCTGGAAACATAATGAAATGGATTATTCACAAGGAAACTCTGGATAAAAAAAAGCAGAAAAACAATAGGCCAAAATTAACATGAAAAATTGAATAATGTGAGCCTGGTTTATCACTTCAATGATGGTGTCAATCATACAAGTGGAATGAAATGCTGCATCATGCTGGTCTAACCAGGGGCGGAGCCAGGATTTCAGGCCGGGGTGACATTCAACAAATTTTAATTTCAAGAATGATTAGAGAGTCAGGCTGTTGAACTAGACGCCATCGGTTGGCGACACGCTCTGACAATGCAGTTGCACGGAGTCCGTCAGACCGAGTGTCGTACACTTACACGCAGAATGTCACCCCTGTCTCCCCCCCTGGCTCCGCCCCTGGGTCTAACCAAGTCAAATCTAGGTGAATGTTTTCATGAATGATAATTTAGAAAAGAATTACATTTCCTGTGCTTTACAATGCATTTTAAATAAACCATACACAAAAACATATGTTCTTTAACATGTTGAGAAATTGTAAAACCTGAAGAAATAATTGCCACTTAAGTTTCCTATTTGATCCTTATGGTGGTACCCCGGGGTACCAAATAATACAAAATGGCCGAGGCAATTAAATATTTTATTTCTGGGACACTTTTTTCCACGGGTGTATTTAACTCCGCGACTAGGGTACCAATCCAAAGTCGGTGCTACTCCACGATGTCGAAACACAGCGAGGACGATTGCGCTGAAACCCTGAACGCTCGTATGCACCACAGTGCATCGTGTACAGTGCGTCGAGATGAGTCGATTGCCGCATCGCCGACCATCAACAGACTAAAAATGACTGCATCACGGACATTATGTGAGAGCCGGGGTTCTATGGTACCCTGGGGTACCGCCATAAGGTTCGTTTATCAAAACACATTTTACGAGTAATATTGATATTACCTTTCAAGGCATGTTAAAATATAAACCATGAAGCTATTATGTAAAATATGAATTAAAAAACAGCCTGATGTACGAAATTCATTGACAGGATTCTCCCAACCCATATTTAATATGTAAAAGGTAAAGGCAATTACTTGCTCAAGCCTCTGTTGGTGGAAGGCCCTCCACGAGAGGGAGCTCTAAAGAGCCCTTCCATGTATGCATGTTGAACTTCTTTCGCACCGTACGTAGCCAACCGCAACGGTATTTTGGTCTATTCCACACTAGCCAGAAAGATCTGAACAGGTGGGGGTACCCACAATTCATACCAACCACAAACGACCTGCAGATCGACTAAACTTGTGGTGTACTCCTTACACTGCTGGGCGACCAGAGCAAAGGAGAATTAAGAAACTTGCTTTCTATTCCACAACTACCATGCCTGGAGATTGAAATGACGATTGCAAATGCAGTGTGTGCTTAAACATAACACCGCAGGTGCATCCCCCCCTCTTCATCCGCAAGCGGCATACCTCTTCTTTCTGAGAACCAGTGCACGCTCACTACTCAAAGCATGTTACTCCCCCCACCACCCCAAAGGGCTTACTGTGAAAAGGCTGAGGCTGGCTCGAGAAGCCATTCTGTGGCGTGACCGGTTGCTGTCCACCAGACACGGCGACCATTCGATCGCCGTGGCCCACTGCCAGCAGAGAGCTCTGCCCTGCAAGAGAATGTCACACGCCGCAGCCGCCGCACATTATTACGGGGATAATTATAACTCGTGGGAACAGGGGGGAAGCCTACAATAACACCACCAGATTAATGATGTGCTAATGGAGTACAAATGCACGTGATAATAAGCAGGCTTAGCTCACGATATGAATCACCTTAAAGAGTACGTGTCATTTCTTGTGGTATCAATTTATATTTTAGTTCTTAAGTGTGTAATTACTGTCAAAGCTTTCAATTTAATGAGTATGTATTGTTCATCATGGCTATTTATTTTCTTTTTGGCCATGCCAAGAAAAGCAGAAGTTGAATGTGAATTTTTTTCACATTTCCAAATAAACGAGAAATTTTAAAAAAACGTGAGTATATTAGCAGACTGCCTTAGAATTATTTTCTTGTCCGGCCCATCGCAGCGAATGCTCTATTGTACTCTTGTACGGTTCCCATATATTCAGCGACAAAGTACAGCCCATGTCTTCCTCTTATACTCTTCAATTTTTTTTTCATGAGCACACAGCTCCAACCCTTAGACAGACACCCATATATGGCTCTGTAAGCACACTGTATGGCACTCAATGCCTTAATGCAATAAATCAGCATGACATGGTACAGTGTGGGGGGTGGAGAGTGCTATAAGGCTCCCTTCGTACTATGTGAAATGGTGTGGCACTTCTTTATAAAAAGGATCGCGACTTTTGCATGAACAAAACACAAAACAGTTAGGCTATCTATCTATGCAGTATTGCTGTAGAACTTGCAGCAATTTCAAAGGATAATTCAGAATGGGGTCATCCTCCCACAGCATTTAGTATTAAAATTAAAATAATGAGTGTGAACAAGTTCAGGAAAACAAGCAACAGTGTAATTTTTGGCAGAGGGTCAAAAATGGCAAACAGCAAAAAAGCACAGGCTGAGGACATGAAATTTGCTGAACATGCAAACCCTTAAACCCATCCAGAGCAAAAGGACAACTTAAATCTCACACTTGCCTGTGCCAAGGTCCAGGATGACAAAGTTGCGAGCTCAGTACTCCGACATGATGCATTAGACCCCAGAGACATCCCTGACTATTTTTTTATTCATCAGCATTAATCCATTTAAATTATCAGCAAATCCCTTTGCAGTTTTGCCAGATGTGAATGACCGCTGATTCAGTCACAGAGTATTTACTGGGCAAAAGTGTGCACTCCTATTGTGTTGTATGTTTTAGAAAAAAAAAAATTATACACATGTACCAATTTAGGCATGACACATTGCGCCAGTAAAAAGTACAGCCTACATGTGATTTTTTTTAGACGTTGTAAATGCAGCCGCTGAAATAAGGTGGCAGGTTATTTAACTTCGCTTAACACGGAGGTTTTCGTGACCAATAGTAACTAATTGACACGTTTGGCTTACGTGACAAATCTTACTAATTGGCTGTGTCGGGTGGTGGTGTGTTTAACAACACTTTGACATTTACCACAAAAATAAAATGTATTATATTATTACTTATGTCGACAAATGAATGATAATTTGCAATTGAAGAAATTGTTTTCAGAAAAGATTAGACATGCCTTCAGGTGTGTCCAAGCCTCTGTCAAAATGACAAGCTTTACAATCACTTATTCAAAGCAATTTCAAATTTCAAGGAATTTTAACAGTTGAAATTAATCAATGTGCATGAAAAAACAACTATATGTATAAAGCTCCAACTCACTGCTTAAACTCAAGCGACTTTCCACACACACACATTCACATCACGAAGGTGGATACATTCGACGGCACCAGAAACGATGGCACCAGCAACGAAATATAACTCACTAAAGGTAGGTTCAAATGTGTTTTCATATTTAAAAAAATCCCAGGAAAGCCTGTTTTGATCCAATAGCAAATCAATATTTAATATGCACGTTTTATTTATATGGACTCTGTATATACGTTATCCATGTCATCTGTTTATAGAAATCATCACTCTGCCTTGAATGGAGTTGTACGCGGATGCTTCTTTCAGAAGTCGCTAAGAGGGCAGTGGAAAAATTTAAAGACTGGAATGATCTAATAATTATCTTCACAACATGGGAGGGGTCCTTATCCAGCAGTGGGCTGACAAACGGGCTGTACATGTGGTTTTAAAATATTCTCACGTGGTAATATAAAGGCTACATTCACTGAACTGAACCGCGCCTCCACGTGTGTGTGTCGACTACGAACCAGCGGGGATGAAACCAGCGGAGGTAGTTGGGATGGAGGTGTCGCCCTGGCTTGAGATTGACTGCGTTGTGGCAGGGGGCAGAATGGTAGACCCGGCGAAGACATCCAGCTGTGTTCGGGCAACAGATGGAGGAGCTTGAGCCTGGTGTGAAATGAGCTGCAAGCTGCCGTGGGCCCCCTCAGAGGCGAGCCGGCCCGAGGGGCTGTCTGCCGCCAAGCAGTCGAGGATGGGCTCATCTTTCACCAGCAGACTCGAAGGACCTCCAGAGGATCATACAACACACAGAGCAAAGCCAAATATCACTCAAGTTCTACGAGCAAGTTACATGCTGTAAAAAGATCTGATCACAGCAGAACAATGTTTTAACGTAATATTTAAATATTGAATGTAAAAAATGCAATTAACCACGTTTAATTCCGAATTGTATTGTAACTATAGTCTTAAATGAATGAAGCATTTATCAGGAACACAAATGCTCATTTTTTTTTATTTTGCCATCAACCACATTAATATATCATGCTGCTAAATTAACAGATGTACATACCTGTACTTTGTAAAGTCAATCCAGCTAAATCTGTAAAAAAAAAGTCGTACAAAACAATTGATTGCTTGTGATGGACGTCAGAAATATTCACAATGAATGCCAATGACAATTACATATTCAACTAAACAAAAACCAAGAGTGACATCAGTAAACGTGGTTTGTTTTTTTCGAAACTTAGCTTTTGTTAGCAGCTGTCGGCATGTTCCTTACAGGCCTGAACAACTTTCTCTGGCTCTGAGGCTGCACTTGAGATCAGCTCATTCATGTAAGCAGACAGTTTAATTTTACAAGTTCGTCCTAATATTATTATACTCCAACACCAAAAACACAATTGGAATATATATTTGTAATACATATTTACATTTTAACATTTTTATAACATTTACTTCCTTCTATTCACATGATAACTTGATTGTTAAATATGAACAAAAACTGGCCTGCTTTGCACCGAATCTCTTAGAAAGTACAAACTTTTCAGGAGTATAGTTGGCACCAAGATCCACTTGTCTGGGCTAAGGTTAAGGAAGGCGAAGATATTCATTATGGAGCTGTGATGTGGCTTGAGGGAGTAAAATTAAATAGCACATATCTTGTCACGTTAAAAATGTTAGCTCATCCGCATAACACAGTGCACTGAGCAAGCCCATCCCATATCTAAATACAGCTGGCTTTGCTGAAACAGAATTTACAACACTGCTTAACAATGATAATATAAAACCAAGTATGTTTCCAAGTGTCCCAGGTTACTGGGAAAGGTGGCAACAAATTAAAAACAAAGATCTAAAACTCTTCCTTCCAATCTGTCCATCTGGGCATGCTGCCAAACTGTGCCACACCATTGAAGTGTGATATTTCGCAGTGCAGTGGCTTATGCTTTAGTCGATGTCTTGTTTCACCCTACGAAGGCCCAATTCAAGATTTAAAATGTGGCTTTTAATGGAAATCAAATAACGTTGAATATGAAGTTGCCATAAATTAGATTTTGCCTTCATAAAGAATGACAAAATATAGTGCAATCATCTGAAACACCTCACACCGCAGTGAAATGTGAATTTTTTGTGGAATGCGTGCTCAATTGCTAAAAAATTCAGAACAAAAAAGAATAAGTCTAGCAGGACCTTCTTAAAAACTATTTTTAAACAAATCTGTGAGGATTACTTCATATTTTAACTACACTATACATAAAAAAACTCAACGATACCTAATTTAACCAATGCAATACATGTATTTTTGTACAAACATTGCAGAAACAAAATGTAAACAAAATTAGCATAAAAATAATGACCCAATTTGCACATTCAACAAATGCTTCAGTAAAGTTTGAAAAATTAATAATTGTACTGTTACATTTACAGCCTGTATAAATATGGCACGAAAGAGTTCCTGCTTGGATGTTTTGATCAAGTCAGCTAAAATAACAATGGTAGGAGTCCATGGATGCTCAAAGTATAAATCAACTGTGTATCAGTCCCATCATGCATCATAATTTTACATTTGAATAGACTTCCTCAACAAATAATCCAGCCACGTAACTTCTGGGACATTTTTCTAAGTATTATCATGTACAGCCTGGTGCTTCATCACAGGCGAGTGGGAAATTTTGTGCAAGTAAGACTAGAAAGCTTACACAATTCGTTTCCTCTAGATCATTCATGCAACCAACACCAAATAACACTTCATGAACAGCAGTTAGAACAAATGGAGATGAGACACTTTGATAAAGCTATAGTATAACATTTATCTTCTGAATCTTGACTGAAAGCTTTCGTGCCTGCAAGAATTCATACTCTTTTGGTATTTCGGTAAAGTCACGGTAAAGTCACGGTAAAGTCAGTACCGAAAGACCCATGTCAGCAAGCACAAATGGTTTCTGGCTTCAAAATATGATCTTATTACTTTTGACTTTGACCATGATGGGCTTGCTTTTCCCTTCCCATAAATTGTTCACCACAGTTATGCATGTTACCATTCGAATAAATTGTATATGGGACAAACAGAAATTAAGATAAATTAGGCTACAGAACATTTGTCAGTTTCACTTGCAATCACTATAACGTGCTGTAAACAAGTCACTATATGGAGACCATTGCTTATTTCTTAATCAATAGAAATGTTTTATTTACAATCACATGGTGCAACTGTGAACAATTTTACAAGTTAACATTACAGTCAACATGAATGGGATTTTGAAAAATTCAATAGTGTATCAGTGAAGAAGTGCTTGAAACAAGGAGATATTTCCATACCAATGCAAGGAGAAACGACCCTCTCATAGTGGTAAGGGTTAACACATACACTGTCAGCCTTTAGGTCAAAGGCGTACTGACAGAACTTGACATGTTTCAGCTCATTCTTGTGTAGATCGGGCCACCGCCAGATGCGTGCATAGACCACATGGGGGAAGCCTTTTCGGCCTGCAACCTGCAACAAAACGTGTGGAGTTACATAAGGATTATTTCAAGATACACCTCCCTTCCATCTTATATTTTAGAAATTAAGGGAAAACAAAACTCCCAAAAAATACAGGTGTTATAAAACTGTGGAAAACACATACCTAGTCTGTGTTGTCACAAGCTGTTCCAACACGATTTCACAGCTTTGGTGACTTTTAAGCACACTGTCAGTAGAGCGCCCTCATTATAACGTCAGTCACACTGAAACCATTTCATGAGATGAGACCTCGGTGCGCCTGGCTTACATCACAACGCTTATACGTGCCTACCAATGCATTAGTGTTCCTTGTTCAATGCAAGTGCACGACTAATTGAGAAAAGTTGCATCACCACTGGGTTCCTTTATTCAATGTTCAATACTCAAAAGAAGCCGGTTATGACATTATCCAGAATGTGTAAAATCTCATCAGATCTCAGAAGCTAAGCAATCTTGAACCTGGACAGTACTTTGAAGCTGCTGTGGGGCTGTTGTCAATAGTGGGCAATCCAGAAAAGCCACAAATATAGTTAACATTCTTAGATGACAAAACGATAAAATAGTATGCATCTTTTATTCAAATATGAGTCTTGGTTAAGAGTATAGCTGCAATTTCAGAAAATGAAATAGTCAATTCAATTAATGCATATAAAATACATTCTATGCAAATAAAATGTGACAGTTAGGTAATGTAATTGTGTAGTCTTATATTGACATTTACTCTACATGTCCCTTGAGTGAATATTGTTACATTTCTCAATACGTCCCCATAAGATGATGGTTACCCATAACTTCAGTCAAAAGGTCATTGACAAAAACAATTGCATTCAAAAGCATGTGCCAGCAATAAACCGTGATAGCAAAACTACTTGCACGACAGTAAACCTTTCTACATGAGTGTATTTAGCATTTCATTTTACCAAATTGTTAGTAAGTGCTCACACGCCACAACAATAAAATCCAATCATATCCTAAAGTTACTATCTCAGCACTGAACCTATCCATAACATCACAAAAAAGTGTTATGTACTGCAAAAAGGTCTCGATAAACAAAGAAAGAAATATAATCATCTATATTTTAAATGTGCTTTCTCAAATATTTGCAAAGCATACATCGAAGGAAATGTGAATATCATGACATTCAAAGTGGCATTCCAGATTTATTTTATTTACATCTGAAGAAATTTATCTTTTTAATTTGCTTCACAAGCTTTTTTCCAGTAACTTTACCTGAAAATTATTAGATTACAAAAAATACATTTCTCTGGTAATGTGAAAAAGAACTAGTGCCAAATTCTTTTTGCTCAACTCCCCCATCAACATGTTTTATATTTCACATTCACGATTCAATTTCAGCCCACACGCAAAGAAAAATGAGCCAGTCCATATTTTTCATTCCACCTTACATTGGGTGCCCAAAGCAATTACTTGAGAGATTGATAGTTTTCCCATATGGTTTACATAAAATCCATCGGTCACACCTGACGTGGTGTACTCTGTAAAAGCTATGTTTTGCTTGGTCTTATTTTTCATAACCTTAAAAAAGAATCCGAATAACAACATTATGTATATCCCTGATATTAAAACCTATTCTGACACTTTACAATTAAAGCACCTAACTGAAAAATGTTTTGCTAGTATCTGCGAGTAGCCAACGAAAAATGTCAGAGTAAAAGTTTCTGTAATAGAATGCAATGTACTTTTTTAAGTATTGGTTTCCTTTAACTTATAACATCTTTAAAAAGAAAAAAAATATGCACGATTAAAATTAACATTGTTGATATGTAAAAAGCGCTTTCACGTGTCATTGCTTGCTGTTTGTAAAATGCAGTATGATTTTTAGGCTTGGAAGAGAGCCTATTGATTTCCTATGTTGTACAGCCACTTCATTATAAATTATAAATGAACATAAAAGTCCGAGCTCAGCAGTAAGCTTGATAAATGATTTCTGTTCTAAAATATATTCTAAGAAATCAGGTTTTAAATGCTCTCTGCCTTTTCGCTGCATGCACACAAGTACAGTACATGTATTTAAAATCCAAAAAACATACTACTCCTTTACTGATATTGGCAGCAACGGCATTCTACAAGGTACAACGATACTTTGCAAAATCATGTAAGTAGCAACATTTAAAATGTTTAAATTCAGCACTTTCAATAGTTTAAGTAAACAAAGAAAAATGCACTTCAGTAAAATGAAACTGAAAAAAAATATTTTTTCAAAAGTGTTGTCATAAGGTTACAACTGAAAGTGGAATTATATCCAAGCAAATGTTTCATTGTGGAAAACGGGTAAACATGTAAAGTCCTCTTGACAACACCAAACAAATATGAAGGTGAATGCATTTTGTTAGATACCATTGATGACCCAAAAAAGGAAGCACTCGAATAATCTTATTCTCCAAAAAAATGTAAAACAATTGCAAAACACGTACCTTATTACGTACTCATCTGGCATAAAAGGGCACGCGGTTTAAATAACTCAAACGCAGCGGGCACAGTTTGGGGCATACGCGTGCACACGCGCGTAGGAGAATACCTGTAGCCTCCCATCCAGGGTCCTCTGGATGGTGACGCACTTGCTGGGGTGCGCTCCGTTCGTGGTGACGGCGGTGATGAGGGAGTCCAACTCGTCCTTCTTCTCCTTGAGCTTGCGCACGAGGCTCTCGATGGCGCGCTTGGCGAAGGTCTCGCTCTCCCCACCCTGGCGGTGGCACAGGAGGCTGTGCACGATGCTCAGGCAAGCATCGTTGCTCGACGGCGTTACCAGGGACATTGTCTTCCTCGCCGCTGCGTTGCCACGCGGGAAGAAACTACTACTACCCGTGCCGTTTGCTCTCCTCACCCAGTCGCAGTGCTTGCGGGGCAGGTAGTCGTGGGTGGCTGGGAGGGGGGTGGTCAAGCGAGCCCTCTCTCCAAGCTTACCTTCTTTTGTCAACGCCCGCAAATACCAGAGGGTGGTGGCAACCGAATTGTCGTCACTCAATGTGGCACAGCCAGCGGTGGGAAGAATATCTGGCTGCAATGGAGAAACGGAGCGAGCGTGCTTCTTCAATACGCGTGCGTGCGTACACGTGCGTCACACCAAGGACGAGCAACACGAGATTGGCTTCCCATGAACATATCGTGATGTGTCATTCATTTATTCATTTTTTTGGGCTAGTGATTATACCGGCGTGTTCTGATGCGCTGGGACAATGTATATTTTACATGCTGTATAAACACCAAATCACTGTGTGCCAGGTAAACAGTACAACATATTTATAAATTACATAATTACCTACCTTATATTAGAATACGCATGCTGAAAATGTTTGCATGTAATTATAGATAATTTTTAAAGCAAAAACTAAAAATCACCTCTTTAAAAGTCCACGTTACTGACGAATAAGCGCTGTCTAAATTATTGTTCTCATAACGATGAGTACGTTTAAAAGTTACGATATTGCCCTGACAGCATGCACCAACAGCCTGACACAGAGACCATTTCAGCACAAGATGCGATTTCACTTGATATATGCCAGGCTGCTTTCACACATTCAACAACGAGTTCATAGAATACATTAGCTTGATACTGAAGATTACATGACTGACATTTAAGGAAAGCAATACTTTATTATGCCCAGGGAGTATTACGTCCTTCCATTCATCCAAGGCTACTTAAAAGTAATTTCATGAAAACTACAAAATCGTTAAACAAGTGAAATCTAAATTCCTAAACTGCTTTAAGTCTCGTGCGTAAAACATAAATGTATCAAATCGCCACAATTATTTAACGAAAAAAGTCAGACTCTAATGCCGATAAAAAGCGGAAATAAGCCGATTAGAAGTTACTCGTCCAATATATAGTTAGGTTTTTAAGTGCATACTTCGCAAGCTATCACCTTTTTCACAGTTGCATGATTAAGCTATGGCTTTATATAATTCTAAACTGTAAGTACACATAAGTAAACACGTCCTAGACCACTTAAACAAAAGTGACATTCCCCATAGTTTCCATTCAAACTCCATAAATAAACCACGACAATTTCCACCGAGAATGTTCACCAAAAGGGGCAGAGGCAAACTTTGCCACACTCGTTAACGAAACCAAAATAAAACCAGAGCTCAAATTCTATCCACACAAAGGGCACCTATACATTAAGTGCTGTTAGCGAGCACCGATAAAGGCCGGCACTGTGGGCACATGAGCTGGTTTGGTGGCCAGCACCACGCCCGACCGTCACTGCTGTTGGGGCCGTGAGCGGGAATCGAACTCGGGTGGCCGGGTTTAAAGGGCAGCGAGCTAACCGCTCCCCATATATTTAAGATATAGGGCGTCCAAAAATGAATAGAGCCAAAACAAAAAATCAAGTTTAATCTCTCTTTTTTTTGTTATTCGAGATACCGACGAAAAATTAGATATTAATATATGCATTAGACTTATAATAAGTTTTAGTTAACTTAAAATGTTACGGTAGTAATAAACTTCAACATATCGTCCATCGTTTACAATAATCAATCTAATTATGTGTTTAAACTCTGAGAAAACATTTTGCGACACCCTGTATATACAGAGTATGCTTTAGTACATCAGCGTATTGGTTTTCAAGACCAATATTATCCAGCAGCATTGATTTCAACAAGCAAACATTGGACATGTTTCGATATGCTGGGTCTCATCAGCACAGCGGCTGGTTCAACAAATTCTGCTGGATAGTCAGATGTTATTGGTAAGTGAACACTTCATCAACATTGGTCAGCATTTATTGCCTTGGCAGAAATTTAAAAAAACACCCAGGCTGGCATATCGGGCTATGGGCCATTTCACTCTGAATTCGCTCCAAATCTCCTTAATTTCTTGACTGAATACCAAACATAACCATTCAAATTGTGGATTGCACTTTTAACACTGGATGGATAGGGCCCTGAAAAAACTGGGAAATTTGAACCAAGTTTCCAAAATAAGACCTCAGCAATGTCACATCGACAATCTCACACGAGTTATTAGACGGCTATTAATCAAACACCCCCTTGCAAAAGTCGAAAATCACTCGCACAAACCCACTCACTCTAAAAGTAAATAACCAAAAACAACGTTACTTGCAACACTGCATCATGGGGAGGCGCCATAGTGAGCCCCAGCAGCTACGCGACACGGCGGCCACATTTCACGGAAACGTTCGCGAGGACAAAAGCATGCGCAACAATAATAAAGTAAGGGGGGAGGAGGGGGTGGGGTAGGATTTTTTGTTTGTTATCACAGAAGAAACCTAAAACAACAACAACAACAAAATGATCGACGCGCAAGTGCTCGCATGGCATTTTCCAAGGGGCCGCTCCCCTGGCCAAGAGCCCAGGCGCCCTTCTCGCCATGCCACCTAGGCCTTCTCCCCCACCCACCTACCTACCCGCTCTCTCTCTCTCTTTCTCTCTCTCTTTCTCTCTTGGTCACATCAACAGCGGGCATTACACTTACTCAACACGCCAGTTGTTAACGTATCGTCACACGTAACGGTGCCCGTCGGGTGCCCGGGTGTCAGTGTCCGCGGTGCGCTGCACCGTGGGTCCCGCCGTGTGCGGGCGTCTGGCGCGCACGCCGAATGTAAACAAAAGGCCCCCGCCCCCACCGCCGCGCACCTCCTCCCTTCTCATCCGTCTCAACAACAACAACACGAAACGAAACGCTCTCCACGTACCTGCGCTCCTCCTCGTTGGCCATTTATCAACGACGCTCTTTGATGGGGGGAGTGGGGGGGTAAAGAGCTTTTGTCGGCGAGAGACCAGACGTCGGAGCGGTCCACCGAACGGAGACAGAGACGGGCAGAGAGACAGGTTACTGCCGTGGCGACGAAGGCGACGACGACGAGGAGGAGGAGGAGGGAGACGAAACGACACCCAGCATGGAAACCTCAACAACACCGCGAATACTTCCCAGCGGACGGGGCTGATGCCAGCTCAGAGGGTTTTTTTACGCTTCAACGCAAGACCAGAGAGAGGTTTTTTTTTCCCTCCTCCATCCATCCCCCCACCCACCACCACTCTCCCCTAGACCATTTGAGACGAAAGAATAAGGAGTTGTACCCTTTATGGCAATAAAACAAGGTTGCGAAAGGTTCTATATTTGGTGTTTGAACATCTTAAGACCTGTTTTATTGCCAGAGAGGGGTAAAACGTATTCTTTTTTTTGTGTATAGGATTTACCTCTGCATCATCGCCAGCAACACTCGTTTATTTGGTGTTTGAATATCTTAAGACCTGTTTTATTGCCAGAAAGGGGTAACTCTGCATCATCGCCAGCAACATTTCGGTTTTTTTTTTTAAATCGAGGCTCATGACAATGATTCGCAGGAAACAAGCGCATAGTCAAATTTTGATTTAAAGCTTTCGTGACTACAGGGATTCATATTCTCGGTTCTTTCTTTGCTTGTGTTGCAGTGGAAACGTCGTGAGAATTTTATTGTTTTATATTTTTTGTATTATTTTATTGTTTCCCTTCTACGTGACTTTACCGAAAGGACCAAGAATAAGCGCGTAGTCGGTTCACTGCTTGGCGAATGTCTCCTCAAAATAAGGACGTCTCACGATGCTGCGATGTAATTGCAGTGGTCATTCCATTCATGTCAACCCCTAATCAGTGCAGCTACCTTATTACACACCAATTCAGACATTGTGCACCTTATAAATCTCAACGTTCCATCCAACAAAGTTCCATCACAAGGGAAATAAAATTAAAATTGCCCGCATTGGAACGGCTTCTTAGGCCGTATGGACCTGAAAACCCCAATTTCTCCGTACAAACATACGGGTAAACCCGTGTGGGTTTGACAGACATGTCATGATTAGCATTCGCAGGAAAGCAAGCACAGTCAAGTGACTGCTGGACGAAGCTCTCCTTAAGGGGTCATGCATTTAGTCGGTACGCAAAAAAAAATCTGTCAAAATTTGACCCCTACCTGTAGGCACGCGAACTTTTTACACCCCGAATCCTATAGAACGGCCGATATTTAATCCACGCAGAAACGATTAAGGATTAATAATATTAATAATGTATGTCTCTGTGTGAGTCTCTCTCTGCTTGTGTGTCTGTCTATGTGTCTCCGTGTCGATGTTTTGTGTCTCTCAAATGTAGCAATCTTTGGAAGAACGCAATCAACCAGGTGGGGTTTTGACTCTTGTGTTGGGCGACTCTATGTGTTGCATTGCATTGTATTTCCAAGTTTACTGTGTTTGTGTTCTCATTCATTTGCACCTGATGATGGTTGCTTGTGTTGCAATCGAAACGTCGTATTCCATTCATATTTAATTTCTTTCTACGTGACTTTACCGAAAGAACCAAAGAGTAATATTAACAAGGCTGCCCCCGCCGCCAGTTTCCTATGTGTACGCACAATGTTGTCAGTAGACCCCCCCCCCATACGCACGCGTACGCATTTGGGTTAACCTCCCCCCTCCATGCGTACTAAAAGGATGGCCCCTAGTACAACGACGTCTCACGACTCTGCGATGTACTGCACTGCAGGAGTCATTGCCTGAACACCTTCCGCTAACCTCCCCACCACTGGATGGATTACACTGTGTAACACACCTTTTTTTTCGTTCCTGGGTAGTAAGTGTTATGTCCTAATTGCTTATGCCTGAAAGGTACAGAAAATGGCTATTATTCCCCAAAAACTTTGCTTTTGTGACCAGGACATTGATATTTAGAAATGTACGTCTTTTCAATGAGAAAACGGGCGCCTTTGTGTCTTTTCGTTCACGTAAAGTTATAACAAAAATCAAATGAATCAGAATTAACATGTATTTATACTAAAGTAATACAAAAATGACTACGAAATATTTAGACACCAAGGCGCATTACCACAGGCGGGACTGGCCATAGCGGACCGAGTTCTCTGTGGGGAGGAACAACGTCAAGTGGGGAGCCACTGCTGGACAATTTGTCAGAGCTGTAGATTAGGAGTCGGCAGCCTTCAAAGTACCTTCAAGACTTATTCCCTAAGCTGTCTGAGGCAAAGGTGAAAGCCGGTGTCTTCGTCGGACCACAGATGAAGAAGATCCTGGAGTGCAATGAATTCCCCAAGAAGCTGACGAGGAAGGAGAAAGCGGCTTGGAACAGCTTTGTCGCAGTGGTTCGTGGCTTCAAAATCCATATCCTTGATACTCATCTTGATAAATTCAAGGAGAACATGGGAGCGTACTCGGAGGAGCAAGGCGAGCGCTTCCACCAGGATATACTGGACTTTGAACGCCGCTACCAAAGACGAGAACATGATGGGAGACTTCTAGATTTGAAGCTTTCGTGACTGCAAGAATTCATACTCTTTGGTTTTATTCATATGATGGGAGACTACATTTGGGGGCTGATTCGTGAAAGTGATTTACAGTATAATCGTAAATCTCGAAAAACTACTCACTTCTAAATCTTTTGTAGTAATTTTTGTATTACTTTGGTATAAATACATGTTCATTTTGATTCATATGTTGTTGTTTTCTGACTTTATGTGAACGAAAAGACAAATTCGCCCGTTTTCTCATTGAAAATAGGTAAATTTCAAAATATCACTATCCTGGTCACAAAAGCAAAGTTTGTGGGGAATAATAGACATTTGATATACTTTTTAGGCATAAGCAATTACGAAATAACACTTACTACGCAGGAACAATAATTGTGTTACATAGTGTTATCACCATCACCAGCGATAGCATCGCCTGCCTCTGCCAACGCGCCTCTTCTACCTGACTTAATGATGCGATTTTAACTTATATTTAGTTATTTAAGGGGCGCCACGGTGGCTAGGAGATGTTAACTACCTCGCCTGGTATGCAGGAGGTCGGGGGTTCGATCCCGACGCCTGACGCCTTCTGTATATTTGGAGTTTTCGGTGTTTCTCTCTCCCCGTGGTCGCGTGGAATGTTTTCTCCGGGTAACTTGGGTTTTTCCCTCCACATTTAGAAACACGCATTTAGACTAGATTGTTCCGCTGCTATAAGTGTCCAAATGATAAGACACATAATTGAGCTATCACTTGTAGTCAGGCAATGGCAGAGCCAGGATTTTCAGGTAGGGGGGGGGCAACCCCTCCAGCAATGCCAAATGACAGAGGAGTTGTTAGTAAGGACTTGTCCCTTGCTTTTTATTCGACGCGTGTGCGGCGATGGCGCAGCCATCGATCGAGGGGTCGAATTCGAACCGCGTTGTGTGATCGGCATCGCGCTCGCTGAAGGTGTTGATGCCTTCAGGGAAGTCGTGGACTGTATACGCAACTGCGCACAATTCTGAGTCACTTATAACTGCTTTGCCGTTACTTATTGCCAATTATGGACTCAGACTATTGTCCTATCATCTCATAGAGTCCCTAACACATAATAATGATACACAGTGGCAGTGGGGGTCACAAAATGCCACCCCCCCCCCCCCCCCCCCACTAGCTCTGCCAGTGTAGTCTGGTCGCTTTTGAAAAAGTAAGTTAATACCTCAGTGGGCTTTGTCTGGTAGGATGGGGATGGTTTATTTTTATTTGGGTTTAGGTGATGTGTTTACCTTTTTTGTATTCCCCACTCCTATATTTTTGTATTGTTGTAACGTTCTTACCCGCCCCGACTAAACATCTACGAAAAAGAGCTTTATAGCTCATCGCATTCCTACAGTATAAACATATTCTGATTCATGCCCGTGAAATATTGTGCACGCTATACATTTCATTATGTAAAAATCCACCCAACACCAGCACACGAGCTGATTTCATCGCGCAATCTCCTTGGAAGATATCCTATTAGACGCGTTCCATTCCGTACCTCTGTAATGACAGGGTGACGCCTGTCGGCCGGGAGTGGTAATTAGTCATGGCTGCATTACATAATGCCTTATTATTAGCGGGCCGTATCTGGGGTAAAGGTGCAGTCAGTCGAGAAGCTCCGGGAACCAGCTCGAAGGTTCTGGAATGGGGGCATGGCCAGAGGTGGAGCTTGGCCGCGCCGGGGCAGATATAAGGGGGACCGAACCAGAGGTTCGTGGCTGCTCGTCATAGCTTCGTCTCCGACCACGTGGCTGATCTTCTGGAAGACTCTCTCCGTCGCCATCGCTGCGCTGGTCGAACAGCTTGCGTAGCGAAGCCGGAGATGGGGCTACGTGTTTCGTATGGTCCTTTTAGCTTCGTTACACAATGTATCGCACAGTGTGCTCTTAATAAATAAGCCTTTACTCGACGTGTCTCGGAAGTCGCTCACTGGATTAAACAAGCAAACTCTGGATTGGTTTGCATCTCCAGTATCTCAACGGCAGTTAGCCTTGTTACAGTACAGCAAATATGCCTACATCATAGGTTTTACCTCGAGTATTGATCAAAAGTTGTACCTCTAGATAATCAGATGCATTTTTACCTTCCTATCACACGAGGTTTACCTGCATACGTGCCTGCTCAAACCAAGTGGGTTTTTAGCTCTTAACCAGACATTTAACCTCCAGATTGTTGCCTCCAGAACGTTTAAACTGCAAACTTTAGATCTGTAGCTGCTGTTCGCATTGTCTGCACACATGTTGCATGAAGTGAACTCATTAAAACCACATGAAGCATGTACTAGCCCAACGTTTCAGGTACCGGGCCTTCAGAAAAGGCACATGTATATTCGGTCACTTTCAATGGATGTACATTTTAAACATTTGAAAGCGTTTTTTTACCCCGAGCTTGTGAAGCGTTTTAAAGTGAAATGTTACCAATGTAGGTAAAATGTAAAACATTTTTTAACCCAGTGGCTCATTTCAAATTGTATTTAATTATTTAAACGGTGATTTTTACGTTAATATGGGTGTAATGGGTATTCCCTTTACGATTCCAGATTAATGTTAATCACTGATACTTTGACCGTCTCCAATTTTAAACAAGTGTCCATGTTCTTACACTTACAGGGCTTCGACTCAATAGAACCTCGATGTAAATTCAAAGCTGGACATGTCAACGTTTTTCCCCTAAACTTTCCACTTTTTCAGGGCTCCAATGTCCAGGGGCAATCACTCGACTGATCTGCGTTTTTCCTCAGGCTAATTTCCAAAACGTCCCATCGTTAGTACAGGGCAAATTTAAAAATAAAGGTGGTGCTTTTTCACCGATTCCAAGTCCCGTGTCTTAAAAATTGTTTATCTTACAAGCGATAAA